TACAATCAAGAATGCGAAGTGATGTGCTGGCTGATGCGTCTTCTCCTCGCAACATTACGCTAAAAAGAAATCAGAATCAAAAAAACAACACAATTATGCCCAAGTTTGTAATACCATGTGTTTTTACGGTCGCGGAGCGTCACTATGGCACCGATCCAGCCGAAAAACAAAAAAGACCTCAAGCTCTTATGTCGGGCCACTGGTGATGATTTGGAGTGAAAACTTGTCTCATTGCACATGAACAAGCCCAGCAACCCTCATGATGCCAGAACCGAACGGCATTGCGTGGCCAACAACGGCGTCCGTTGCCCAAGCCATGGGTGTCTTTCAAGACGCACCAGCAATAGTTGCTAGTCTTGACGGAAATGGCAAGAAGGAGCAAAACCGTGAGGCCTTGAGCAGTTGCGCCAACCGGCAGGAGAGGTCTTGAAAGTCTGGCTGAGGGAGACACGATCTTTCCTGTACTGGGTTCCCTTGATACTGGATGGTCTAGTCACACCCGTCACTTCATTGTAAGTGACTCTTCGTTGAATGCGAACGGAAGGTCGCTGCTGCCTCGCATAATTCGCTGGTGATGGCGCGAAAGCTAATTGCCTTGAGGAGAGAATGTTGGACACCTCCTGCTGTAAAAGTGATTCTTGCCGACACATGTGCTCTTGCTTTTCAAAACCATGAATCGTTCTCGCCTCCGTTGAGGCATCGTGCCCAGACGTACCTTCCAGACATGTGTTTACGTCGTCCCCCTTCGTCGTCCTCGACCATCGTCTCTCTCGTCGTCTTCTCCCTTCATCATCGACAATACTTCAACGACTTGCCTCATGCGCTGATACTTTTTGGTCTGCACGGGTAAGTCTACACATTGCCGAGAGCTATCAAGTCACTAACAACGTTTATCACAGACACCGACTTTCCCTACAAACACACACATCACTCGTTTACAGCGTGCTGTCCCGATAGCAACCATGAGAGAGCTTCCCCCTCTGCAACTTGACGGCATCGAGTCCGAGCGAGAGGAGGAGATGGAGATTCAGGCCGAGAACGACGCTGAGAAGTCGGCCGCCAAGGAGGAAGAGGATAAGGGAGCTTTCGACACGCTCACGGGGTTCTTCCAGCCTCAGACCAACGCCCCGCCCAAGAAGCCTAAGCATCGCCGCATCAGGTACCGCTTTCTCACTCCATCAGAGTGGGCCATCTTCGCTCATGGCATCGGTGGCGTCAAAGACACTGAAGGCCACGTCGCCCTCCATCCCACCTGCTGGTACTACCCGCCCAAGGGCATTCCCAGCGGTCTGTACCGAGACGTGATCTGGCACCGTACCAAGTACTTCTACTTCTATCACGGCATGAGCACCATCCGCTGGTTCGGATACATCCTACAAATCATCTTGGGCGCTGTCCTCACCGCCATCGGCTCCATGTCCTTCAAAAATGGTACACCGATCACCATCATTGCCGCGAGCAACACTATCAATGCTGGCATTCTCGCCCTTCTGCACAACAGTGGCCTGCCCGACCGCTACCGCTCCGACCAGGCGGAGTTTAGCGAAGTTGAGGACCACATCAAGAAGGTTCTCGACACTGGTGTTGTCCCCGAAGACATGACAGTTGATCAGGCCCTCGTCCAGTGCTTCGATCTCTACTGGGAGGCCAAACAAACAATTCAAGCCAATATTCCAGCGGTGTATACCCCGAGCTCAGTCCTTCAAAGCGGTCAACGGGCTCCTGAGAAGGGCCAGAAAGAGGGTCAGCCCGGCACACCGGGACAGGCACCAGGCAATACCGGCCGCGGCTCAGTAATTGCCTCCAGGGTTTCTGCATCAGCCTCGGCAGCCAATGCTGGAGCCGGAGACAAAGATAAGGAGAAGTAGAAAAGAAATCGCAATTACATTTGAGAGGGAGCATTCTGTAAGAAACTTGCATTATCGATGAGCTTCAGTTATGCACGGGAAGGAACGGGGGATGTCAATGAGTGTTCGTGCTTTTTTGGAGGCAACAAAAAGTGGCCATGTATCTTAGTGAGAGGATAACCAACGTCTGGGTTGGAATTCGTAATAGTGGCAGAGGAGGCACGATAATGAGAAAGCTTATGGTATGGCTGGGGTTGAGTTGAAGTTAGTTGCTATTGTCAAGATTCGGTGCAGTTCGTCACCGAGTGACTCACCGCCTTCGGCAGAATATATGGACCCACTGAAATTTCTCTCGCAGACCTGTAGTACCTTTGACTTCAGTGACAGATCAAAGCAAAGCCGACCCAAAAATTGTGAACGCTCAATCGCATTACATGTCTGCATGTTGATTCCACACATACGAGGAGGTATTCGCCAAGGCACACGCGCTGCGAGCCGGCTACTACAACAACCGCTCCCATTGAGGACATCCGGTCTATTGCGTCGCACGGATTGCTCTGTCGCATCTCATACTCGTCTCATTTTGAGGGGCAGCTTTCCTTCAGCCAGACGGTGCAGCACCCAAGCCGGCGAGGACCCGAAAATTGGAAAGATGGGCGCGGAAGACCCCGTCATCACTTACGATGGCAAGGAGTTCAAGGGCGTGAAGGAGGGCAAAGCCACCATCTTGGTCCCTGCTGAGGCCGCGGGAAAGCAAGGGAAGCAGCAGGTTTTCTATAACCCGATCCAGCAATTCAACCGCGATCTTTCAGTTTTGGCCATCAGGGCTTATGGCGAGGAAGTGGTCGAGCGTCGCGCGGCACAGCCGGCTTCCAAGCGCAAGGAGAAGAAGAGGCGGCGCGCCGCGGGAGACGACGGCGGCGACAGACCGGCCAAGGTTCAGGTAACGGACGACGGCAAGCCGGCGGAGACAACGAACGGCGAAGCGCAGAGTGCGCAAACAGAAAGCGGCGCTGCTAACGATGCTAAGGCCGAGACGGAGGAGATCGCACCCCCGGCTGCCGCTACCGAGCCTCAGGACGCCGAAGACAAGTCCGCTCCCGAGAAGAAGACCCCCAAGTTCACCATCCTCGATGCCCTGTCGGCCTCTGGACTACGTGCGCTGCGCTACTCGCATGAATTACCGTTCGTGACGTCCGTCACGGCCAACGACTTGACAAAGTCCGCTGTCGAGTCGATCAAGCTGAATGCGAAGCACAACGGGCTGGAAGACAAGATCCAGGCGAACCACGACGATGCCATCGCCCACATGTACAGGCGCATCGCGGACGACCTCTCCAAGCGCGACCGCTTCGGCAACCCCAGCAAGGAGAACAAGTACGATGTCATCGATCTCGACCCTTACGGAACTGCTGCCCCGTTCATCGACGCTGCCGTGCAGGCAGTCAGGGACGACGGCGGTCTGCTCTGCGTCACCTGCACCGATGCCAGCCACTGGGCCGGCCACTGCTACGCCGAGAAGAGCTTCTCGTTGTACGGTGGTGTTCCCATCAAGGGTCTTCACTCTCACGAAGTTGGTCTGCGCATCATCATTCACGCGTTGACGACCGCGGCGGCCAAATACGGTCTGACCATCGAGCCCCAGCTGTCGCTGTCCATCGATTTTTACTGCCGCATCTTCGTCAAGGTCCGCAAGTCCAAGGACGCGGTCAACTACCAGGGAGGCAAGACGATGATTGTGTACAACTGCCCTGGCTGCTCGGCATGGGAGACGCAGCCTATGGTGCGGACTCGCCCGTACCCCAAGAAGAAGGATGGATACTTTTACAAGCATGGCCTGTCTCAAGGTCCTCCGACGGACTCACACTGCCAGCACTGCGGCTCGGCACAGCATATTGCAGGACCGATGTACGGCGGCCCATTGCACAATGCGGAATTCATCGAGCGCATTCTCGATCTCATTCCCACGGTCGACAAGAGTGTTTACCAGACGACCACGAGAATAGAGGGCATGCTCCAGACGGCTCTCGAGGAGTACATCCCTGGCCCGGAGCCCGCGGAAGCGGTTGATCCCAAGGACAAGGAGCTTGCGAGGACCGACCACTACCCCTTCTTTGTCATGCCCAGCAAGCTGGCTGGCACGCTCAATACACAGCAGCCTCCGGATGATGTCTTCAGGGGCGCACTGAGGCACCTCGGTTACCGTGTCACGCGCAGCCATTGCCGACCTGGCAGCGTCAAGACGGACGCGCCGTGGGAGGCTATCTGGTTCATCATGCGGGAGTGGGTTCGCCAGAAGGCCCCCGTCCGCACCGACAAGATCAACCCTCAGATGCCGGCATACACGCTGCTAGGTCTGGACAAGGCGGAGAAGCACGGTGATGCCAAGTCGGCCGACGAGATCAAGGAGACTGAAGAGGCCACCCCGACTGAGGCCAACAAGGCAGAGGTGACTGAGGAAGGGGACAAGAAGGACGTTGAGATGCAGGACAGCACGGAGGAAACGGCGAAGGCGGCGGAGAAGAGCGAGGAGAAGGCGGCGTCGCAGGAGGAGCTGCGAAAGACGCTCGTGTTTGACGAGAAGCTCGCACAGTTGGGTAAGCGCACGCAGGGAAAGAAGTTGGTCAGATACCAGATGAACCCGAGAGAGAACTGGGGCCCGATGACGCGAGCCAAGGGGCAGTGATGGACGAAAGCGAAAAGAAGAAGTTGGGGTTGTTTTAGTCGATACTTTGGAGGCAGACCAGAATACCAGAGTTGAAGAATTTGAATTGCGAGGTAAACCTCTCCCCCGCTTGCCCTGCCCTTCCCTGGCCCCGCGCCATCTCCGTCACTGCTGGTGCTTCCAAACTTGAGAAGATGGAAGATGCTGACTAGGAGCTCGACAGACGTCGAGATGTCATTCTTGTTCGGCGCCCCTCAACCAAGCAGACGCCAGCGCCAGCGGACAAAGTCAACAGACTTCCTTTCTCGGGACTTGGCGAGACTCCACGGTTCGCGGCGGTCCCCCACCAAGGATGCGCGAAGGTGGGCTTTTTGCTTCGGCTTCGGCTTCGCCCCTCGCGACCCGCATGGGTAAGCAGCGCAACCAAAAATGGCGCGCGCCGTATAGCCCGCATTCCAGCGCCAAAATACCCCAATTCAGATTGAAGAGGTGGGATGGCCGAGTGGTCTAAGGCGACAGATTTAAGCTCTGTTACTCGAGAGAGTGCGCGGGTTCGAACCCCGCTCCCATCATTTTGGTCCGTCTATACTTTTGTTCCAATGGCCAATGTTGTTCATCTTTCATTTTGGCTGCTATCCGCCATGTTTTCTGGAGTTGCACGCAATTGTGTGCTGTTTTGTGAAGGTGCGTTGTGGATGGGCTGGTTTTTTTTTTTTTTTTTTTGTGTCTCTGGCGGGCCATGCCTCCTGGTGCTGAGGCGGCCCTGTGTGACTCGCTGCGGGCGTCGGGTGCTGTGACTGCGATTGGTTCGGCGATGCTGGCCGCTGACGGGCACAGATTCCAGCGGCTTAGGGACCCAAGATAACGGGCAAGATTGCGAGATCTACCCCCGGCCACCTGTGCAGCCGCTGCAGCGGGCTACTCACTACAACGCCAGGGTCGGGTCTGCCAGAAATAACGCAATCAGCGGGCGGATGACACACTTGGACAGGCACATGCCGCGCAACCGGACCTTTGGGCTGCATGCTTGCTTACAATTCCCACTCTCGCTGCGGCTTCCTGTTCGTTCGCTCGGAATTGGACATAAGAGGTACCTTAGCTCACCACCAGGGCTTCCAGCGCAGCCGGCTTATTTTTCGACCTCACACCGAGACCTTGATCCGGGTCCCAGGGATACCAGAGATACCGGCACCTGCCTGAACGGGCTGACGGTCTTCGTGCTGTCTCCAGTGGTTGCCTGGGAGCTATCTAGGTCCCGATCTCTACTCTCAACGTGCCGGCGATAATCTGCCATCCACAACTGCAATCAATCAAATTAGAGACAGAAATCTTGTTGGACAGCAGAGGCCAGAAAGAGTCATCCACTGCCTCTCCATAGCACGATGGATGTTGCAGAGCCTCTGGGGTTCGAACCCCGCAACCACGGGCTGGTACCCCGCCGAGCCCTCGATGCCACCTTCGTCGATGGCAAGCTGAGCTTCACATCCCAGCGCGGCAGTGAATCCGTACGCCCGGAGGAGATTGTCTTCATAATCCCGGCGAATCCTCACCTCAGCTCGGGTCCCATCATCTGCGCACTGAGAGAGGACGCTGAAGCCAAAGAATTTCCGTATCAGCTGGATATCTTCTTTGTCGCAGGCGATTTGCCCCCAGAGCTCACTGACGGCCTCCTCCTCTCGCAATTCCCCGACCACCTCAATCCTCAACCAAGCCGCCACGATGTTCACTTCATCGTTTCTACAAAGTCCGGCCTGGGCCATGCTCCGAAATTCTGGGACAATGTGGTCCAGCCCCTGGTCATTCTCGCGGATCAAAAAGCACCAGGCGGCATGTCATCGCAAAGCAATGGCTTGTCTGACAGGTTCAACGTTCTTATCACCAAAGACGCCGACAGCGTTCGCAACTTTGCAAAAGACAAGTGGGCTTCAAGGACGCAAAATCAACCGGGTTCTTCTGCTACCAAGACCGAATTGATTGTTCTGATGAGTGGCGATGGTGGCGTTGTCGACTTGCTCAACGGATGCGAAGAAACGGAGACGCCGACTGCTCTTCCGACCATCGCCGTGTTGCCCCTCGGCACCGGAAACTCCAACTTCCACTCATCCCACAAGCCTCTCTACACCGAGAACGGGCCGTCGCACATGGTGCTCGGCCTTCGCACGCTCTTCTTCGGCACGGCCGCCCCGCTCCCAAGCTTCCGTGCTTCTTTCTCCCCCGGAGCCCGGTTGGTGACATACACTCCGGAACCTGACGCCGAGAAGCCCGAGGACGTCAATCTCCGTAACGATCGTGTTGGCCACCTTTTTGGAGCCCTCGTAGCCAGCTACGGCTTTCATGCCCAGCTTGTTTGGGAGAGCGACACGCCCGAGTACCGTAAGCATGGAGACAAGCGCTTCGGCATGGTCGCACAGGAGCTGCTCAAGGAGAGCCATGCGTACACCGCCAAGGTCGAGGTTCGAAGCCCGGACGGCGCCGCGCTGAAGCCGCTGCCGAGGGGAAAGTACAGCTATGCGCTGGCGGCGATGGTCTCAAATCTGGAGAAGACGTTCACGATCTCGCCTGGCAGCGGACCGTTGCAAGGCCGGCTGAAGCTGGTTCACTTTGGCGCCGTGGGAGCGGAGAAGACGATGGAGATCATGATGGCTGCTTACAAGCAAGGCTCGCACGTGGGCATGAGGTGGAAGAATGGGGAGCAGGAAGACTACGTCGGCTACGAGGATGCGGAGGAGATCAGGGTGACGATCCGGGAAAGCGACCCTCGTTGGCGCAAGGTTTGCATTGACGGAACCATCGTCGAGATACCAGAGGACGGTTGGATGGCTGTCACCAAGGTGAAGCATCCGCTGTTCAGCATCCTCGCTGATCGATCCATATTGTGAGGCGGTTATTGTGGGCAACAGAAATACAGGCGGCGAAGAGATGGGCTAGAAACATGCAATGATGATTGAACGCGCCTATCACGGATAATGAAAACAACTTTCAATCCCAGAGAACCAAACTTGGCGACGATGATATTCAAAGTATAGTCGGATCGGTGGAGCGATGGCTCCGTTCAAGCTCACAACGGCGTGCTCGGCGCCCGAACGGGACGGATAGTCGGAAGAGCGAGCGGCTAGGACGGGACGCCGCAGCAGGATGCGAAAGCTTCTGCCTGTTGATGCATGTTTCAGTCACCAGCCCAACCTTTTCCCGCACTTCAGGCGAATTTGCCAGTGAATCTTACTTGTTGGACTTTTCTGAGGTACCGAATGCCCGAATTACCCCGAATGAGACCATTCCATGCTAGTGCGCCACAAAGCCCAGCCCAGTGACAGACACGAAGAACATGTGTACGCAGCGACACGAAGTCGGGACCGAGAGGTGTGGCTTTCAACCAAGGATCCTGTCATCAAAGGAGACTCGGGCCCGATTTCAATGCCTCAGATGCCAAAGTCAAGTTCAGTGATGTCTTGTATAAAAACTCTTTTAATCCACGACACCAAACGGTGGGTTCATTTCAACATCTTCAATCTTGCCAACATTGCCTCTCCCTTCTCATAACAGCCGGTTCACAACTAAAGAAATGACCCAGCTTTACGATGTCATTGTTGCCGGCGCGGGCCCAGTTGGCCTTCTCTTGGCATGCGAAGTAGCCCTAGCAGGCGCATCCGTCCTCATCCTCGAACGGGACGCCAAGCCCGAGTCCGAGTGGAAAAGCAACCCCGTCGGCTTTCGGGGTCTCCACCTCCCCTCCATCGAGCTGCTCTACCGCCGCGGCCTCCTCGGCAAGCTCTACGACCTCACCAACCGGCCCCACACACCCCCGAAAGGGCCCGGGATGCAGTTCGGCGGCCACTTCGCAGGCATCCCTCTGAACCTAAACCAGCTCGACCTGAATCGCTGGAAGTACCGCCTCCCGGGCCCATCGCTGATGCCAGGCCCCATCACGATCGACCGCATTGAGGCTGTCCTCACCGAGCGGGCGGAGAGCCTGGGCGTCACGATCCTCAGGGGTCATGGGTTCAAAAGGATCGTCGAGGAGACGCAGAGCGGGATCACAGTGGAAGCAGGAGACGAAGGACAGAACTTCCGCGGGCGGTGGCTCGTCGGATGTGACGGCGGCCGGAGCGTGATCCGCAAGGCGGCAGGGTTCGAGTTCGCCGGGACGGAAGCGACTTTTACCGGGTACGTCGTCCACTGCGACCTGGATCATCCCGACAGGCTGGTGCCGGGGTTCGTGCCCACGCGGCACGGCATGTACATCTTCAGGAAGCCCGACATGGTGTACCTGATGGACTTTGACGGCGGCGCGGGGCAGAAGGCGGAGCACTCGCTGGAGCGGCTGCAGGACATCCTGAACCGCGTCACGGGCGAGCCGGACGACGTGCGGATGACCAAGATCCATCTCGCGACGCCATTCACGGACCGGAGCAAGCAGGTGACGACGTACCGCAGGGGGAGGGTGCTCCTCGCCGGGGATGCGGCGCACATACACCCCCCTCTCGGGGGCCAGGGCATGAACTGCGGGCTGGGCGACGCTATGAACCTGGGCTGGAAGCTGGCTGCCTCGGTCCGACAAGAGCAGCAAAGCCCTGACGGCAAGGCCAACTTTGAGTTGATTGATACGTATGAGAAGGAGAGATATCCGATTGGAGAGTTCGTCCTCGAGTGGAATCGGTCGCAGGTCGCGGCGCTGCAGCCGAACGAGACCGGGTACGCCGTCCAGAAGCTCGTCCGCGATCTGATCGCCACCGACGACGGCGCCAATCATTTCATCGACCGGGTTTGGGGCCTTTCGCAGCGGTATGATCTCGGCAGCGACGTGCATCCGGCCGCAGGGCGAAGCGCCCCAGACTTCACATTCAAGGACGGCACGAGGTTGGGGCCCAAGATGGAGCAGGGCCGGGGAATGCTCATCGACTTTGAAGACGACGGCACGCTGAAGGATTTGGTCACAGAGAAGTACGAGAAGAGGCTTGACTACATCGGAGCAGACGTGGAAGATAGGCGCGGAATCCGTGCTTTATTGATTCGGCCAGACGGATTCGTTGCTTGGGCAGTGGAAGAAGGTGCGGAAGTTAATGTTGATGAATTGAATGTTGCGCTAGAGAAGTGGTTTAAAATCTAGAAAGAGCAAGAAGTGGTGGTGGTAACGGTATCCGTCATGAGCATTTTGTACTTTTAGAAGCTGGACAGTCTCCTCACAATCGGCCTCGAGGAGAGAGGCACGACCTCGCGCTTGTAGATCCCCCTCTTCAGCTCGGAACGGGCAGACCCGCAGCTAGCAAAGAAAGAGTCTCCCAAAGTCTGGCAGTCCCCGTCGGTGAACCTCGCCGGCAGCTTGGTGCAGAGCTCGTTGTCCTCGCTGAGGATGCCGCCGCGCTGGCTGCAGAGCTGGCGGCCGCCGGTCCTGATGACCGACGTGCTGAGGGTGGCTTTGCACTGGCATTGGATGGTGCCTTGTTGTGCGAGGCCGAGGCCAAAGCTGAGAACTTGAGTTAGATACATGCTCACATTCTTGTGGTGAAAGGCTTGAACTTACCAGAGAGCGAGCATGATGTAGGAAATGATGAACTTCATTTTGAATATGGATTTCGGTGTGATGTTTGAAGCTCTGATTGGGTATCTTTGATATGAACAAGTCGGAGAGGTGGATGGGTAGAGGTGTAGAGAGAGTGTAAAGCTGCTTGTGAAGGGCAGATGGTGTTGGCCAGAGAAGAGCCGCAGATCTTTATACAAGCAATGCCGAGCCGGCCGCACGTTCATGATCAACCGGCTCAATTTGACAGCCCTGTCATCTCATCGTGTGGTCTAAAGTGGATTTGACTCGCGTCCGCCTTCCTCTCACTGGTCCTCCTGGTATCCAAGCATCCCGAATAAAGCACTGCAGTGGCGTTGTTGACGGCCGAAAAAGGGCTGAGAACGTTGCAAAGGAGGGGGAGAGAGCATCCCTGGTCGTCTCATGTCTGCTCAGCCCGCGTAAGCTCAATGGCAACGGCGACCAGCGACGGCATCAATTTTGGGAGGGGAGTCCAAAGTCGCTGGGCCGGCCTTGCTTGCCTCGAAGGGCTCCCTCGCGATGACCAGCAACACGGAGCCGCCGGCCGTACCAGTCGACGCAAGGCAGGGAGTTCCTGTGTGTCGCCCACATCCCGACAGTCAACCTCAGACGAACAATGCCAGATTTTGATCTCGTGTGGCTCGTGCAGCTTCATGGGAATGACGTTCGGGCTGACGTGGACTTGGCAGATGGGTGTTCTCTGTTGGCTAGGGCGCCGTCTCAGGTTTCCGAGAAAGAGAGAGACAGAAAAATAAAAGAGGGCAGACGGCCGCGGTCGTTGGGCTGGGGGGGTTTCAGGGTTTAGGGGTAAAGGGGGCGGTAACTTTGAAACTTGAGATGGCGTGCGGGACTCCACAAAAGAATAAAAGAACTCGCTCATGCAACCAACTCTCTTTTTGGTGCGTTTTTTTAAAGATGGCAGATGCGGCGGTGCGATGGCGGTGTGGGATATGGAGAAGAGCCGAGTGGTTCGTGGAGGATGACGACTGAGTTGCGAATTGAGTGTAAGAGCGATAGAGTGCCAAGACAAGCTTGTTTGTCGGTTGGCCTCGTTTAATTATAGAAGTCTTAATATCGAACCCGCCGAGCCTCTTGAGTCTATGTGCGGATTTCTGTATTTTCTCTAGAGCTGAACGACTAGAGGAGTGAGTTCCAGGCCTGTTGTCGGGTTGAAACGATGCAGAGGCAAGACTTGGCCGTGAAGGTCCCATCTTGCTCTGCACCAACGGCACGATCAGCGTGAACTTCCTTGAAACAATGGATACTTGCCAATAAGTTTGCAGTCCTTATCAAACAAGTGTCTTCCCACGAGCGGGCGTGCTGGCCTTTACGAACTTGCACGTCGAATGGCTAGTTTCAAAACCTAGTATCTGGATTCTCTGTCTCTCCTGCGATGAAGTGTGGTCCACTTCGGATGAAGTCTTACTGGAGCGAGCGTACGTCTTGTTGCTAGTGACTTCGTGTCTGTTCACAACGAACGCGAAGCGAAGGTTTGATAAAGCTACCAACAATAGTTGAAATGAGCACGTTTCTATCGCCCCAAATTAGCTCTCGTTTTCATACACAGCATTCCTGACTCGATCTCGTTCGAACCCCTGGCTACTTGTTGATTTGATTGCAACCGCTCTCGTGACGTGAGAATCGGCTTCGCGGTCCTGGATATCAGCTGTCTGCGAGATTCAGTTAGTAATCAATATTCGATTGCCTACTCAAATTTCTGTAATGATCATCAACCTGTTCTTTTCGGAGATCGCGTGAAAGAGCAAATGAGATGAGTGCTAAAGGGAATGCGAGAGATTTGGGCCCTTCAAGACCAATGTCATGCAGAATAGGAAAGCACAACAAGGAGTTATGAATTTGATAAAGCGACTTCTATGACGAGCCGATGAGAAATCTTGGAAACTTGCCCTCCTCCCACGTTGTATCTTGAGAAGTTCCGACTTATTCATCGGTCGTCAACTCATTGTTTTCAGGCATTCGCCTTGATAACACCGTGTTCGTCGACATGTCATAAATTTCAAACTGATTCACTTTCATTCGATACGGAGAAGGGTTTATGATGCCCTTTGGATATACGGTCAATAGGAATGATCTAGAATCGAACTCCTTCTCGTTAAAGATTATTTAATACGACCAAGTCACTAGATGTAACCTGGATAAGACGCGTTACCAAGTGAGTGGCAAATACACACCCGTCGGGTCGAACCACAGATCAAGGGAACCTTGAAGCAGGCTACCCTGAGATCTGCCTATCCATCAAGGCCTCGCTTGACTCACATTCCAACCTTTCATATACTAATCTGATCATGTCTTCCAGCAACAATCAATGACACAAGTCTCTGTAGCTTAGTCGGTAGAGCATCAGTCTCATGGTCTTCCTAGATGGTACTCTTGGATAGTATGAGGTAGCTGAAGGTCGTCAGTTCGAGTCTGGCCGGAGACAATTCCTTTTTCTTCTAGCCCCTTCTGATGCCTTAATTATTTTTGTTGATTTACTTTCAAGCGTTTTCTTTTTCTTTTTCTTTTTTTTTTTATCATATCATTGCAGGAAAGCAGCAAGGGGAACACAAATCATCCTCATGTGGAAGTGTTCATAGTTGTGAGTCTACATGTTTCTAGGCATCTGTCCATATGTAATTCTCAACCGTCACCGAAGTCCCAAAACATCGTCATATCAATTGAACATCTTGGCAGATGACATGTGCTCAAGGCTTTGCGGTACTCACAATAGGCGAGTTATCCTGGCCACGATCCATGTTCACTGGCCTCCAAGTCAAAGATAGTCTGGAGGACTAGCGGTCCGCAACGTCGGTAATACAAACCTTGGCGAAATATTCGCGGCGAGCTTACCTTTGATCACATCCTCAGATGTGAGATTACCATTATCATTTCTATAATTGCTAATTTTTCTGGCCTTGGAATCTTAGAGGCACCGAAAGAATCAGGAATTGCAGTGCTGGGTTCGTCATAGGTGGCTTGGCGACATTGTGTTCATTGCGCCGATTGTATAGCATTTTGGGTTTATGGGTTTTGAAGCACAGCAAGCAGGTGCCTGAAGGTGAAGTCCGAGCTCCGAGACGACGGTGCAGAGATCTGAACAAAAGAGGAGGTACAAGCAGGATATGATGGATACTCTCAGGTCATCCGGACTGCGGGGCTGAAGCCGGAACCCCAACTTCGGCGCGGGACCCGATGGGTGGAGATCCTTTAGCGGAGTCGGCGAATGAATCCGGGACTGAAGAACTTTTGATAGGAACAAGGGACTTGTTGACAATGATATCTTGAATTACAAAAGGATCGGGATCGTTTGATTGTAACGGTAAATGTCCCGAACACACTCATTCATTCAATACTTAGCAGGTTGAGAACAGCGACATCAACTTCAGAAATGACGCCTCAAAGGCATTCTCATTTCAATTCCTCGAAGTGCAATGTCCCGACCCGGCATGATCACTTTGAAAAATGCTGACCAGACATCGCGGGAGGTGATGTTGGATCGCGGGCCAGACTGCGGGCCAGACTTCCGACCAGACGAGGGCCAAGTCATTCGAAACGAAACGCCCCTGAGCCCCCAAATAATCAGCGCCCCCTTTACGGGAATGGCGGTGGAATGCCACCCCAATTAGCGCCGATCACCGCCCGAAGTTCACGACAGAGGGTAGCATTTGGAAGGATTAGGAGAGCAGTCGCCGACTTATCATCCAATTTACTTTACGATAGGAGCGTCGGTCTGGCATTGTTTCGCATCCAGGCGACCTCCAACCCCAAAGATGCCTGTCGCGTGGGGAACGCCACGGCGCGTTGACACGATCCTGTGACAGCAGATCCGTTTCGAGCGGCCCCCGGCTAGCCGGGCCAGCCTCTTTGTAGGTACGAATAGCTAGCTGTGTTTGTCAGAATTGCAGCCACATGGCTAGAATATTTCCAAAACCTCTTCCCGCGGAAATATTCACTAAAGTCTGGAAGAAGCAATGAGAACCTAAGATACCACACGAATTTTCGTCTGAACTGCGGAGTTTAGAGACACACACACACGGCCCGGAAAACATGAGATCGTCTCGTGTACTGCTTTGGCTATGGCTCGCGGTCTCGCAGCAACCAAGCCCGGTTTTCGGTTATGACGGCAGCGATGGTGACGCGCAGGTTCGCGATCGTGTCTGCGACTCGGATTCATGTCACGGGCAGAGCCATTTGGGGGTTCTCGACACAGGCGGCGACTTCCCCCTCGCCAACGGGGCCGTGCCGGATGGACTGGGCGATTCCGAGGAGATTCGCGTCCGATATGGAACGAGTGAGCGCATTGCTGTCTAAACTCACTTGAGATGAACACACCCCCGCTGACAATTTCACACAAAGATCTCAAATCAGAAGATGGGCTGTGGGAGGTTCGCCCCTCGCCAGGTAAGGGCCTCGGCATCTTTGCACGGCGCAAGATCCCCAAGGGCACGCGCATCATCGACGAGACGCCGCTCTTCACGGTCGACCCGGGGAGCCTGGTGAGCGGGCAGGGGTTTGCCTTCGATGCGATCGCGACGGCCGTCGACAGGGCCTTTGAGACGCTCAACGCGACGGCACGGGCGGCGTATCTGTCGTGCCCGGAGCACCGCGAGATGGACGACGCGGCGTTCAGCCGGGAGGCGCTCATTTTCCGGACGAACGGGTTCACGATGGCTGGCGGGACTATCGGCATCTTTCCGCGCATCGCGAAGCTCAACCACGCGTGCACGCCGAACTCGGCCAGCGTCTCGGTCGACGGGAGGAGGATTATCTGGGCCGGGAGAGACATCGCGGCCGACGAGGAGGTGACGGTCACGTATGCACCGCTCACGGAGACGACGGAGGCGAGAAGGGCAAGGCTTGCGCAGTGGGGATTCGAATGCAGTTGCCAGTCGTGCTCGGCGAGGGACGAGGGCGCAGGAGCTGCCGACGATTTGAAGAGAGTGGAGATGAAGAGGTTGATGGGGTTGATTGAGCGGGAGCTTGGGAGCGACTCGTTTGGAGGAGACGTGTCGCCTTATGCGGAGAAGCTGGTGAAGCTTGTGGAGGAGGTCGGCCTGGTGGACTACCTCAGCAAGGCATACAAATATGCTGCGTATGCCGCGTCACGGGCTGGGAAGTACGGCGCGGCGAGGAAGTGGGCGAAGAAGGAGTTGAAGATCCACGAGATTGCGGACGCGGAGTCGGTCTACGCCAAGGACACCAAGACCTTCATAGACTCACTTCCCCTGTTCTGAGCACAGCGCTTCAGAACTAATGCGCCCGTTACGATGGGCATCAAACTGAAGCAGAGACGACGGTTCGCCAAGCGGTGACTTGGATGAATTGAGTCACCCCGGCAGCTGCGACACCTCCGAGACGGGGAGGAAAGCGCCGAATGGGCGCCCGGGAAAGAGGGTCGGGGACGGCTGTCTTCGGCGTGACTCACATCACGGAGTGCAGCGCAACTGCAATCTGCAAACTGCATGCCACAATAGTACGTACCGTCTAGACGTTAGTTAGTGCTGGAGCGACAAGTGCGACGCCACTGATGGGCGATCGAGCACCTCTGGTTCTCAACTTACTTCCGTCGGCAACGGAGGGGGGCTGAAAGAAAAACAGCCTCGAACCCGGCCGACGATATAATCAATTAAATCTGGAGAGAGTCCTGCACCATCCGCAGCCGTGGTTCCATTGTGGACGGCTTCATCTTTCTCTCTCTCTCTCTGCGTGACTGGTCTGCAACTGGCTTGTTTTTGTTTTTGATTTGCCCATTGATCGCTTTTGCCAAGATCCTTCTGTCGACTTGTACTGCAGCAATGACGTCCATCGCCTCCGAATCAGTGGCCACAATCCTCTGCACCAGCAAGCAAACGCGGTTCAATATACAGAACACGGACCATCGCGAGGTATCCCCTCATTTGTGAAGAAATACAGCTTTCACAGCTGATCAATCTCCTGCAGTTGGAGGTAGACGGTCTCCACATCACCGTCACTTCAGGTCCGGGTACCAAACCCGGCGCCAAAGGCAAGGCCAAGGCGAGGAGCGACGGAACCGAGATTCTCGTCGATACCAAGCTGCATATCAAGGCTAGGCAAAGATATGCACTCATTGGCAGGAATGGGTCTGGCAAGTCGAGTGAGTTTAGCATGTCCGCCGCCAAGATCAACACTAACCCTCGCACCTAGCGCTGCTCAAGGCCATTTCCGAGAAGCTGATTCCCGGTGTCCCCGAGGAAACTCGGATATCCATTCTTCAACAGACAGATGCCAGCAACACTGACACGGATATCCGGGCAAGCGATGCTTCGATTGGATCAGAGCAGCTCAGTCAGAGTTGCAGCGTCTTGGAGCATGTCATCGAGAAGGCAACCGCTCGATCAGATGTTGAACAGGATATAAGAGGTATGTATGGCCAAGTTCCTTTGCGACTGTAGCAAACTAAATGATAGAAGCATTGTCCGATGGCATCAACAGCACCGATCCATACGCGACGGTCCGAGCGGTTCGTGCCCTTCGCCATGAGAATAACCAGAAGCGCCTCTTCCAGTTCGATAAGAATGCCAGGTTGCGGAGTGGTGATAGAGGACTGGCAGCTCGAAAACAACTAAAGGCTTTCGAGAAGACTGTCGCGGAATCGCAGATCTTGTAGGTAGTCCCCCGGTTATTGGAAATCGTGGACACTGACATGGACCTAGGCTGGATCAACCGCAAAGCGACATATCCGCCGAGGTTCTGAAGAATGAGACGCAAGAGGCGCTGGACATGCTCGCAGACCTTCAATTGCAGATTGAGCCATCCAAAGTTGCCGAAACCGAATCGAAAGCCAAGCGAATCTTGACGGGTCTCGGTTTCTCGGAGGCGTACATGTCCAAGCCCGTGTCAAGTCTATCCGGTGGATGGAAGATGCGGACAGCACTCTCAGTTTCACTTCTCCAGGAAACCGACATCCTGATACTCGATGAGCCTACCAACTTCCTTGACCTTTTGGGAATCATCTGGTTACAGAAGTACCTCGAGTCTCTGCAAGATGACGACGATGCTCCAACTCTTATCCTCGTGTCTCATGACCGAGACTTCATAACGCTTTGCACCGATCTCCTCATTCTCAAGGACAAGGGGTTGACGTATTTTCATGGCGATCTTCCCACATATGAGGCATCGCAGTCGGAGCGTAAGCTGTGGCTGACCAAGATGAAGGACGCCCAGGACAAGCAGAAGGCTCATATCCAGCAGAGCATAACGAACAACATCAAGGCAGGGAAGGCAAATGATGATCAGAACAAGCTACGCCAAGCCAAGTCTCGTCAAAAGAAGCTTGACGACCGCTGGGGTCTCCAGGTCAGCGCAAAGGGCGGCAGATTCAAGCTCAACCGTGACCTCGAGGGGTACCACCTGACTGCTCGAGCCGAGATCGATATACCGCAAGACGAGCGGCCGATTTTTATTGACCTGCCCGAGCCTCCA